TTTATTCCACCAGACTGGCCAGGACTTGGATGGGAAGCTGACCTACCAGGAAATCTGGAACTCCTTAGGTTCTGCTGTGCCAGATCCAGAGCGTCTGAGAGAGTTTGATTCTGATGGAGATGGAAGATACTCATTCCTGGAGCTAAGAGTAGCTTTAGGTGTCTAGCCTCATCAGGCTTACTTTAGAAATGGATATATACCTTGGACTACCTAATATCTACTTACCTAACAGAAACAACCCTTTTACCTACCCATCAGTCCTCCAGTCCTCCAAACTACTGTAGCAGACACATTGCCACCTTTTGACTTGTTTGAAAAAGCTATATAATAGTTATTTTTTTAAAAAAGAAGACCATTTTACTTATAATGTAATATTCAGAAATCTATGATTCCCTGAAACCAGTAAGATCTTAATTTTAAAATTGCCAGGAAAAAAAGTCAAGCCCTCTTTTTTTCTCTTTCCTTTTTTTGAGGGGAGGAGACCTTAGCTTTTTAAAACTGGAAAATGTGTATATAGAGAGAATAAGCCACCTTTTATATTTCACATAAATTTGCCTTAAATTAGCTGCACTTTATACAGACTCAGAAAATGTCTTTTCTTTAACAGATAGACCTTTTCTGTTTGTAAATACTTAAAGAGCTGCGCATAGTTTGTGGGAAGTAGGAAGAATGGTTTGAAACAGGATGTGAGCAAATGACTTGTTATTAAAAATTGCTAATCTCATCTGATAGCAGCTGAAGCTATGTCCACATCTCCTTAAGACATCTTCTTTAGGTGCTGCCATGGGGTTTGGCCTGGTGCTGGGGGAACAGACTTGGGAAGTAGACACTGTGGAGACAGTGCTCCCTCCAGGCTCAGGAAGTAAGATTTGGACTCTTTGTTCCTGTCCTCTCAGCTCATCCCGACCTGTGAACCAGAGAAGTCTTGTTGAGGATTTTCTTGTTTTTAATCCTCTTTCAGGGTTTATGAGCATAAAAAGGTATCCAGTGGGAGCTACATTTTCCCCTCTAAGTGAACTAGATTATCTTCCCCCACCCACCCATTCAGGTCTACCTTTAAGTTGTAACTGACTTCCACCTCTGATACTGTCTCCATTCTGAACGGCAGGGCTGAAGTTCCTTTGCCGCTGTCTCAGCCTGGCTACCCAGGAGCTTTAGAGGAGAGCTATGCCTCTCATTTTGATCCAGGAAATTTCTTAAGATTTTACCTAGGGGCTAAGCAAGAACCTAACGTGTTCCTCTGTGGGCTAAGGCCAAAAGGATGTGAAACAAAACACCTGAAATCATATTAGGTTTCCTTACAATTATATTTCAGAAGTAGCTAGCGGCTTTCTGTCCAGAGGATGCCAAACAGCAGGCAGGCCCAGAGCAGGGGGCTTCGTGTGGTGGCAGCAAGTTTTTTTCAAATCTGATACAAGCAAGTGCAATACTTCTCCCTTTTAAGTACTTCTGAGGGCCTAGTACTAAAGGTCCCTGGACCAGAAGAAATTATTCCTCCATGTCACCTATGTGTGTGTTGTGTTGATCTTAGAAGCAATCTTCAGGCAACACAAAAGGAAAACTCTCTGCAAAACTTAACTGGTCTGTAGGCCAAGTCAGGGAGAAACTCAAGAAGCTTTCAGGGCATAGACTTTAATAGAGCTTGCTTCCATTTTAACTTTGTCCAGGTTGCCCTGTTAGCCATGGATGCAGTTGAGCACCCTTAAATATTTAAGGGCTGAGTTTTTTCTTTATATGTTGTTTAGCTTGGTATTGACTAACCTTGATTTTTTTCTAGAAATATTAAAATTTAGTTAAAGCGGGATGAAGTCTCTCCCTATGAATGTGTCTGCTTACCTCATTATGGCTCATGCTTCTGTCTCCCTCTCAAACATTTCCTTTGCCTATCCGAGCTATTTTACTTTCTTGGAAAGGTTTAAATATAGTACAAAATTAGCCTGGCACTTTAGGTAACTTGAAGATGACTTAGATGACTTACTCTTCTGGCTGCCTTTCATGCCCCCCTCCCTTTTTTTAATATATATGCCCTTGCAGATTTTGTAACAACCAAATAAAATTCTAGCAATAAATTGAATTATACTGCTATATTTGTATATACTGTACCGTAAATAGTATGACTACCTGGAAGGTATTTTTTTGAGAACCGATTTATATGAAATATACTTGAGGGTAATGTAGCTTGTCCTTTTTCGTTTCAAATTCTTATTCATAGGCAGATACTTTGAGGGCACCTTAACTCTTTGTATGTACTCTTCTTTTGCATCTGATGGCTATACTTGGAGAAGACAGTTGTGTTTTGTCATTTATCCTCTGTTACTCCCACCTGAAGCTTGTCTGCCTGCCGCCATCCCTGGACCAGATGGATAGTACCATCCTCTCTCCTACCAAATTTGGCAGAGGTGCTCCTCTGCACTCGCAGACCTGTGTGACCCTCTCACACCACCGGGGAAAGTGCCATGTCTCTCAGGAGAAACTGGGACATCTTAAACTTCCTTGTCCTAAATTGAGCACACTTGTGGCTTTAAAAAAGAATTCCCATAAACCTATTATTCGGTATGAATTTGGGGTTTTTACTTAAAAATTGTCTTAACTTACCCAGCCTGTGATTTGTGTTGATCTATAATCAAGCCTCACCTGCCACATCTCAGCCCCGAGAGGAAGGCTGGGTAGTGGTGGTGAGTTTGATGTTGGTTTTTGTTTCAGGTGCTTTTACCTTCACCTTTTCAGCCTGGCAGCTCCTACTGCTGCTTTCCTAAGTTACTGAAAACACTGCTTCTTGGCCCTCTTTTTCTTCTGCCTTCTATCTGGTATAATGTTCACCTTGAGAGCCTCCCTCTGTAAATCAGAGAGGCAAGAAGGTATCATAGGAAGAGAAGAACCAACAGGAAGAGAGAGCTTGGCTTAGGGATGACTGTAGTGCCGTCTTTAGGGCAGGGGCCTGGCACTTAGGATTGTGTCTGATACAGCAAAGCTGAAGATTGGACACCCTTCACCTGCTGCCGGCTACTTTCCCTCCCGCTGCCGTGCCCTCTTTGCATTGCTGGATGCCACCCCATCTGCCCCGCCCCACTCCGCTGGTCTTGGCCTTGCCGGTCACAGTTGAAGATTTTGACTGTGATGGGCTCATACTTATAATGGCCTGCTGTTGAGTTGTTTTTAGTGACAGCTTTTGTTTGCTACACACCTCATTGACTTGCTTACCAGCACCAGCTAGATGTGGCCCCTTCTTTCATATCCAAACCAGAACACATTTGGGTGTTCCTGAGACTTTATAGAGCGTGTATTGTTTGTTATACGAACCTAACCTACCTTGTTGTTTTCTCATATTAAGAAATGTAAATCTACTTTGCTTTAGTGGAGCTATTTTGGTAATGTTTAAGCAATTTTGGTTCTGTTTAGGGAATGAATTCAAGGTTTCCTTAACTTGAATTGGGCTTTGCTTATTTCACATCAGTAATATAACCATTTTAATTTATCTAAATAAAACATTTCTTTTTTCTCCCACTGCGTCTATTATTACAGATTTCTTCCCCACAGCCCCTATTACTTAAGAAAAAAAAATCTGCTTTGATCCCTATTTTTATGGACTCCTTCCTTCTTTTGAACACAAAGCCTAACAGATGGTGGACATAAAGTCATGCTGAAGAATTTGCCTGAAGAACTGCTGAATTTGGCCTGAAGAAGTGAAGTCTTCTCCTCTGACACCTGCAGGATGGGAAGGGGCAAGATGAGGGAAGAGTGAGCGCCTGCCTCTGTATCAACCAGAAAAGTTCACATAAGTCTATTTTTAATTTTGAGATTCAGTATAAGAGCATGTTTACAGGAAATGTTCCAATGTCTTTTAAAAAGAAAGAGAAAGAAACAAACAAACAAACTTGAAATCCATTGCAAGATAAGGGTCATATAGGAAGGGGCTGGAGCTTTTTTCACACACACACACAAAAAATTACATATTAGCTCTGCATGGTTGCTAGATTCTGAGATTACAAGCACACACGCACACAATCTGGGTAGCCTTTCCCCACAGGAAAGACTACATAAAGCTTTGCTCATTTACAAACATGGTAAGATGATTTCCTCATTTCCAAATGAAAGGGAAATTTTTGTATCCTGCAGCAGAGCTGGGTTTTCTTACATTAAACTGGGACCAAATAGCCAGTATTATCTTTGTCTCTCCTTTTAGGATAGTTTCCTGAAGGTACAAAAATAATATTTCCATACTGTGGATCTTAACTTTTGGAGGGGCCGTGAGTCTCTTTGAGAAAGTTTAAAGGAAAAATAAACTATGGATACATTTCTATGATTAATTAGGGGGTTCACGGACCAGCCCTTCCCCCAAGCCAATCCATGTACTAAGTTAAGTACATCCTACACACACTATAAATCATTTTCTAAATGTTTTCAAACAAGACATCATTAGGGAAGGGACACCATGGTGTACTGTGGAAAGGTCAGGAACTTTGATGCCAGGCAGACAAATTTGAGAACTTGTTCTGCAACATGAAAACAACATAGCAAATGCCCTCAGAAACTCTCTTCATCTATAAGAAGAGGGTCATGATATCCATTTGGCACGGTTCTTGTGTTAGAAATAATGGAGAGACAACTACATAACGCGGTACATCACAGACGTTAACAAAGAATGCAATTTGAGCAGCAGTGCAGTGTGGCTCACGGATTTCACACTAACTTGTTTTGCCCACAACATGGCCACTACGAATCACCACTCATGCATCCTCAGTGGCTATCATTCTTGTCACAACTGTGCTTAACGTCCCATAGAATGGCAGTGCCTTTGGGTGCCTAGCCCAGGGTCTGGCACACGTTTTTGGTCTTAAATAGTGGATAGAGGGATGTTGAGCCCATCAGAAGTACTTGTTCAGTGTGTCTCCCCACAGCCAACCCACAGTTCCCATTGGGTTGGTGAGACTCGGTGACCTGCAGCTTGCCCCCATCAGACACTACCCTCCTAACCATAAGTGAAACACAAGGAAGCCTTGGACTTTTTTAATCTTTTATTATGTGACATCCAGATGGGCCCTGGCCTCTTTGTCAATACCACCTTTCTGAGGTCAGCTCTGTTTCCTGCTCTGCCCCCCGATACCTCCAGCTCCCATCCTCAGTGAGAGGAGGCTACAATTCTGAAGTAAACGACCTGGCATTTAAGCAGTGGTCCCCCTGGGCCAGCGTGGGGAGAGACTGGAAGTGGATGTTCCTTTCAGGACAGGTGGCCAAAGGGTAGGAGACCGAGTGGTTGAGCATCGGGGGTAGGTTACACAGGGAGAGGACAAAGGGCACCTCCTGAAAGGTGGGAATTGGGAGTGGGGAGCTGGCCTGGGGCCGTGGCATTGGGGAAGTTAGGGGCTGCTGTGGGACCAGCTGCACTTCAGGTAGTGAGGGGATGGGGGCCTCCACCTTGGGGCTACTGTCTTGGGCAGCATGGTCCCTGTTCTCAGGGGTGTCCAACTCCCACAGATGGTCTGGATTCTGAGCGTCCGTCTCAGTCTTGGTGGCAGCAGGGGGAGGGCCCGTGTTGATGGCTGTGTCCATGCCATAGTGCCGTCGCTTGTTAATCCAGTACAGCAGCGGGCTGTAGGTGAACGTAGCAGCTCTCATCACCTCCACCCACTCCTGGGCACGCTCTTCCCGCCGCAGGTTCTTCCTCCAGTGCAGGAAGAGAATGCAGCTGCCGGCTACCAAAGAACACAGCCCCAGGAATCCAAAGTACAGTGACACCCACACTAAGGAAGGCAAGGAGAAAGAAGAAAGAAGAAAGCGAGCTGGCTGATAGCTCTAGCTTGGGACTTGTGCTCTTTCTCATTCCCCTCCTAACCCGTTCATCAATCGTTCCATCCACTTGGCCACTCTCTCCATTCCTTCCTTTTCTCCTCATTGACTAGCCTCATCATTCTTTTATTCAGTCAAAGCAGGATTTCCAGGGAGCTTAAGAGGCCACTTCTAGCCCTTCACAGAAAGGAAAGCTAGGTCTGGAGAGGCACGACCTGCCCAGGCTTAATCAAGCCTCTGGCTCGCAACCCTGGATGCATCCAATCCATCAGACTGAGAAGCCTCTCTAAAGGCAAAGCTCATCGAGAAAGTAAGTTTACCAGTTGACCAGTGTCCCACCCCATTCCACCACACTTCTGGCTGTTCACTATGATGGTCCTGGGGGATTCATAGTACCCACCTTGGGTGAGCAGAGAGACATGGCCTCTGCCCTCAAGAAATCCGTAGTTTTCGAGAGGAACCCATGCCCTAAGTCTTAGCACTCCTCCATGCAGGCAGCCATCACGCCATCCATGCAAAAGATCTTCCCTGCGTGTCTGCCCTCAAGCCTAAGAGCACAAAGCAAGGGGTGGGGATTAGGGGGGCATTTACCATCAGAGAGGCTGAGGTCCTCCTGTTGGGAATCCATGAAGTCAAGCCTTGGTACCCAGCCAATGGCTCTGGGGAGAGGAAGCTCACCTACCCATCTGTCTGGCCAATAGGAGTCCCCAGAATGCCCAGTCCCCATTGTTCCCTAAAGGCTGGTCACTGAGTTCTGAGCACTGAGCATCTAGGGGCAGCGCTTGGGAAGGCTAATGGAAAGGGACTCCATCAGTGGTATCTCCTGAGCACAGTGCATCTCTGCTGCTTCTACCAGGGACTGACTCACCCTCTGAACTGTCAGCCCCCTACCCCTGACCCACAGAGCAGCCCCCAGTAAAGGGCTTATCTTGTCACTTAGCTTTAAGGGACAGTTAATGGATACCTGTCCCTGTTGGGGACTGGGGTAGGGAGCACCTCAAGTCATCTATGGCCAAGTTGTCAGGAGTCAACCCACTCAAGGGAACTATATGGTCAATGCCTCCTTCCTTGGCTCTTATAATCTCTCTTCTGTTCCATTACCTTCCTTCAACCAGTGTTAGCAAGTGTTTCCCAGGCATCAGGCCCTATGGGAGCTCCCCACCATCTGGCCCTATATCTCTTTCCAGCCTCACCTTCCTCCCCATCCTTCACACACCTTTCCCATCTGACCAGGCCAGATTCCCTTACAGACCCTGCTTATTCACATCTCTGCACTTTTGCTCACATTGTTCTTCCACCTAGGAGTGCCTCCCCAACTGTTCCCCGCACTGAACACCTGCTTATCCTTCAAGGCTTAGCTCAGCCCCCTCTACTCTGTGACAAACAGTTGTTTCAGCTGGCTTCCCAGAATCACACCATCTCCAGTTGGAAGGCACTTGTCTAGTCCAAATCCTGTCAGATACTTGAGCCCTCAAGGTGGCTCTCTCTTACCCAGCACTAATCCCCGGAGACTCGCTTGGGTCAGGGACTTGCTCACACCTCCCAAGGCAGCTTGCTCCGTTTATGGGCAGCTCAGTTAGAAAGCCCTTCCCTAATTAAGCCCAAATCAGCCTCCCTGTAGGTTGTACCACTAGGCCTAACTCGGCTTGTTGGCATCATTTACTTACTTCCCTCTTTAAGCCCCCAGCATGTGGCTCAGGGCATTGTTTAGCACAGATTTCTCTCCAATTGCACTTATGCTGGGCTCTCCTCACTGGCTCTGCCTCACTGCCTCCTGCTTTTCAGTCTCCTTTGCTAGTTTCTCCTCTTCCATGACCTCTAAATGTCAGGTGCCCTAGGGCTCAGTCCTTGGCCCCCTGTCTACTTTCCATTCCTCAGTGATCTCACCCAGACTCGTGGCTTCAAATATCTACACTGACAACTGTCAGCTTTACCTACAGCCCAGACTGTTCCTCAGAACTTGAGGCTCATACACCCACAAAGCCTGGTTGATGCCCCTCCTTGCCAGTCTATTAAGTTATCTTGAACTACCACGTCCAAAACCAAACTGATCATCCATCTTCCAAAACCTATTCCAGCCTTTTCCTCCTCTCTGTACATGGCAACTCTCTCCTGCCACCTGTTCAGGCCAAAAAGCTGACAGTCATCCTTAACGCCCTTCATTCTCTCACTCCCACATTTACTCCATCAGCACAACCTTTAGGCTTTGCTTTCAAAACATTCCCAGAATCTGACCACTTTTCCATTACTGCCATTTTAGTCTAAGTACCACCGTCTCTCACTTGGTCTCCCTGTAGAGTGACCAAGCATGCCCGTTTGCCTGGGACTGAGGGGGTTTCCAGGACACAGGACTTCGATGCTAAAACCAGGAAAGTCTCACATGAACCAAGACAAATTAATCACCCTTGGGAGAATTTCCATCCTTGTTCCCCATGTCCTATCTTCCACCAGCAGTCAGAATGAGTCTTTTTTAAAGTGGCACTTCTCTAAATTGACTATACTTCAACTATATATATACACACACACAGAGTATGCACATACATACATACATACATACATAGTGGCACTTCTCTACTCAAAACCTACAGGGACTCCCCATCTCACTCAGATTTAAAACCGAAGTCCTTCATTGTGCTATATACCAGAGATTGACACATTGTAATTGACTGTACTTCAATTTAAAATTTTTAAAAATAAAAAAAATAAAAAGTAAAACCAAAGTCCTTACCAAAGCTTCCAAAGACGTGAGCCATCTAACTCCCCTCCCCATGCCTTCTTGGCACAATAACTTCCTTCCTGTTCCACAAGCAGGGCAAGCAATATCCCTCTATCTGGAAGGCTCTTCCCCCAGATATCCATACACACCATTTCCTTCAGGTCTCTACTCAAGTGTCCCCTTCTCTCTGTGTTTCTTAGCCCACTTTATTTTCTGCACAACATGTATCAAACCTAACATTTTATATATATATATATTTTATATATAAATATATATATTTCTTTATTTGTGTTTCACCCCACTAGTGTAAGTGCCATGAATTAATGTAAACAAGGAAATAAATATCTAAGAAGTTCAGATAGTCACAGCTGCTATGAAGAAAATAAAATAAGGTAGTTAGATAAAGAATATAGAGGGAGGGGGGCATGCATCAAGAAAAGTACCTTTGGGGAGGGTATAGCTCAGTGGTAGAGTGCATGTTTAGCATGAATGAGGTCCTGGATTTAGTCCCCAACACCTCCATAAGAAAGGAAGAAAAAGGGAGGGAGAGAGAAAGAAAGGAAGAAAGGAGGGAAAGAAGAAAGGGAAAGAAGGAAGGAAGGAAGGAAGGTGGGAGGGAAGGAAGGAAGGAAGAAAGGAAAAGTCCCTTTGAGGTGCTGACTTGTGAACTGAGCCCTAAATGATGAGCAATGTGCAAAGGCATCAGCCAGTACAATGATGCTAAGGCAGATACAGGCTGGCATACTTAAAAGACTTACTAGTCTTACAGCTCACCACACTACTCCCAGCACAGGGCCTAAGGCCATCTCCCTAACTGTAGGTTGGACTGAGCAGAGTTGAAGGCTCTGTCCTTGCCTCTGAGAGGTCCATCATTCAAGAGGAGTTTCTATCAGGTAAGACCCAGATAGGAAGACTTTCATGAAGGCAGACTGATTAGTGCCATCACAGAGAGCCTGCTCCAGGGTGGCCCTGTGCTGGGAGCAGATGAGGTACAGATGTTGACGTCACTGTCCTTGACCCCAGGAGCTCACTCACACCTGGCTCGGAGGGTGAAGAAGATGGTAGCATCGGGTGGAGAGGGAGAGAGAGCATTCCAGGTGCTTTATCCCAAACAAAGACTTGTCAAGGACGAATCCAGGTGTCTCTTTGGAGAGAAGAGTAGTTCAGTTTGGCTGGAATTCAAGGTGGATGTCAGGAAGCAGAGGAAAACAAAGCTTCGAAGACAGCTGGCATCTTGGAAAGAATTCAGCCCTTGGACAAGTCTCTTAATGACTCTCAGCCTCAGTTTCCTCTTCTCTAACATGGGGATAAAAACCGGCCTCACATGGTATGAAGCAGATACTGTCCTGTACGTAAAAAAGGGTCAGGAAAGAGAAGCTGCTGCTGTGGAGTACAGCTGATGAAGCCTGCTGAAGGACTATTACTTGAGCGAGTGCTTAGAGAATTTAAAAGGAAGCAAACTCGGTGAGGACCAGCAGGGCCAGGCAACTTTCAGGAGGAGACTGGGCGCGCAGAGGCCGCTGGTCCAGGGCTGGGGAGCGTGAATGCGGGCAGGCTCCGGGAGCAGGCGGCCGGGGGCGCTAGAGCCGCAGAGCACGCGGGGCGG